CCTAAAACTTACAACCTACAGGTAAATAGTAAATGCAAAGGATTATTACCTCGAAACTAAGACAAAACACATATTTTTTACATGTTTCAATGCAAATACACATTATTTGTAGTAAATAAAACCAAATATATGCTCATTATTTTTGCTAATTTTGGCAAGGGGAAATCTTATAGTTTCCATAAAAAGTTGAGATCAATGACCTTGCTGCATGGCCTCAGGATCAACATGAAAGAATTAAGACCAAAGAGTGTATAATATTATATTTAAGTTCCATATCAAAATGTAATTTTACATGCATGATCAATTGCTTATATAAAAATTGTGCTCAATGACTTGGCCCCAGAATTATTATGGAAGAAATAATACTAAATTGGAAAGTCCAAAACTGTTGTCTAAACAATATTTCAAATACACGTCAAATTTCACATGCATGTACATATATGTATTGTAAACATGGATTTTTCAACCAAAATTAAAATGACACAGCTTTAATTTATTAACCTTTGAAATTAGAACTTTAACTCATTCACACCTAAAATTTCATAATGAACTATTCCAACCGTTGAATTGGAAGAGATCAAATGTGTCTTCAGGTGTTTCAGGATCCCGGGACCAGAATTATGATTGATGCGTCCTTTGTACTGAAAGTCAGAAAGACCCATTTATAAAGAACTCAAAATGATGACCCAGATTATCATAACTGAAACCATGACCCAGGTTAAAATAATCTCTATATAATGTTCAGTAAAACATCAATCAAATACTTGAATTTATTCATTTTTTTTTGTAACAGTCAAGTAACCTTGATCCAAACATGATGATTTCTGATAAAGAATTTGTCGTTGGATGTTGAATGAATGTAAAATCCAATACCAGCTTGCTATATCAATACAAAAACATCCGTACCAAATTGACCTATCCAATTTATGTTTGTAAGGAATCATAATTATTTAATGACAAACACATTTTATCTAAATGCTAAAAGGCATAAAATCTTGTGAATCACTGATGTAAATAACCAGCATCGGGGTACATTTTTTGTGAGACATTTTTACCTAATAGAGCTGTCTTTGTGATATCATCTTCAGCGACATTTAGCACATGTGTTTATCATTTCATAATGGGTTTATCATTTCTGGGCTAAGTGGAAAAACTCCTTTAGCAAAATAATCCTTGTCAAAACCTCCGCAGAATATTTTCCTTTTCATTAAATAATTTATCTTTCATGTCAAAAAAGAGTCCCAAGTAAAAATCTACTGGGAACAATTTTTCATTCATTTTCCATGCAGTATCTTGCCAAACAGGCAACTAGCTAACACTCATATCAGACATTAACCCAATATTGCACATTCAATCTAAAGCTAGGCATATAAAGCTTAACATAAACCACTGAATTCTCTCTAGTGCCTGTAACAAACTATATCACAAATCCAACATATAATGTATTGTTAAATTCACATTTTTGATTCAGTTTTCTAATGTCAGTATCATCATGCCTTCCTATCATAAACAACATATATTAATCTTAGTCATTCACATGCTTAATTTACACCAGGGTAACACACCATCTGATACAAACTCTCTGCAGAACTAGTGCTACTTCAGCTGAAGGAGCGTGTTTTACATTCATAAATCTAACTGGTGCTGTGTTTTAATAGCATCCTGAATGACATTTCTCTACAGTAGGGATTGGCCACAACCTTTAACAAAACCTTTTAACCTCAATTAAGTAACATACAAAGCTCACATATTGAATTATTTCAGGTTTCATTTTATTGCTTGGATATGTGTATAGTAATACACAAGAAAAGAATGTGATGCGTTTCCTTTACAGAAAAGTTAAAAGGTTCAATTCAACTGCACATAATAACATTGTAAAGGAGAGTTCCACTAAAGGGCAATTATTCCATTTGGAGTATTTTTCATTATTGATAGATGATTTAAAGAAACCTAGTGAGTTTTTTCTGCTTTAAAGTTACTTCCCTTTGCATGGTTTTAGTTTTTCATTTTGATACTGTGCATTAACATTTCCCAAAGAGCAACATTGACAAACTGTAAGGTTGGCAGTTGATAGGTCCCAAGTTTGACCTGTGGAATTTCAGATTTTGTTTGTATAGTTTTAGCTTTAAAGTTACTTCCCTTGAAAAATTACTAGCGTTTCATTTTGAGACTGTGTATTAACATTTCCTGAATAGTAACATTGATAAAGTACTAGATTGACAGTTGATAGGTCTCAAATTTGACCCGTGAACTTTCAGATTTATTTTTAATGTGAAGCTTAATTCCCTTGAGACTGCATTCATATTTCCTGAACGGCAACAGTGACAAAGTATTAGATTGCTAGTTAAGGTGTCAAGTCTGACCCAATGAATTTCCATTTTTTCTTTGATTTTTTTCTTTACCTCATTCACCCCTGAAGACACATTTGAACTCTTCCAATTCAAAGGTTGGAATAGTTCTTTATGAAATTTCAGGGGTGAATGACTTATAGCATTTAAATTCTGAAGTTTTGTAAAATGAATTGCAAAATGTGTTTTATACAGATTATAACCGTAAAAAATTAATTATAAACAAGGCAGAGTATTGCAAGGCAATCCATAGTCCCCCACCGGTAATGATTTATTTCTATATTTAACAAACTGTACACCTATTTCTTGCACTCTGCACTCCGCCATCCCAAGATGTCTTTGTACACCAAATCTGGTTACTCCAGTACAGAATATATACCCTGGACAAACTTTTTCAAAAGTTAAGGTCAATGGTCAAATCATAGGTCACAGTGACCTAATTCTTGCACTTTGCACTCCGCTATCCCAATATGTCCTTTCACACCAAATCTTGTTCCAGGAAATCCATCTTGTTTTACAGGCAAGTATATGCTTCTTCTTCAATGCAAGTGAACCCATGCCCCAATCAAGAAGTTCCAGTAACTAGCAGTGTAGGAGATGGAGCCCGGACACATTTTTTTCTTTTGTGCAGGTCAAAGGTCAAAATGTAGGTCAAAGTGACCTACTTTTCATACATGACACACCGCCTCACCAAGGTGAACCCATACCCCAACTATGAAGTTCCAGTGACAAGTAGTGTAGAAGATAGAGCCCGGACAAGATAGCGGAAGGAAGGACAGAAGGACGCGACGCAAAACTATAGTCCTCCACCTGTTCCCAGTAGGGGAATAATAAATGTTTCACAATAATGCCTTCTAATTCATATCATAAGTTTATGGTACTCTTAATCTTATAATACTTAAAACGGAAAAGTTTAATTTGAAACAAATATCCTCAATATCAAATTTGAAATTTTTTGTCAAACTATAAAGCTAATGTTGTTTAACATTCATCACTGATACCATAAAAATTTGCAGTGGATTTGTTTTAAAAAATACCACAAACAAGATTTCATTAAAGTTTCAAAATGACAACCATAATTATTATAATACATGTTTTAATGATTGTAGTAATTCAGAATTTGCTAAATGAACATTTTGTTCTTCATTAAGAATTAAAGATTTTCATTTTAAACATAAAACTATTTTGTATTTTTAACGAGATTCAGATCGGAGATAAAATGTTTAAATTTAATAGAAAAGTTGTTTTTACTGAGGTTTCAAAGGCATATAGTTGTCAACCACACAGATATCAATCAGAAAAATTTTTGATTGCTGAATTAAGTACCAGCACAAACAAAATGTGCAGATTTTTTACGACAATTCAATGTTGTGAAATTTTAGCTATCCATGGAATGTCGAGGCATCCTCTCTGATGAAAGCCAGGGAGGACCAACTCATTAAAAAGTAGAGACCATTAATTTTTCATTATTATGCGAATGCCCTTGAATTAGTTCAATTTTCAGAGACAATTCTTATCGGGGACTCCTGTGGGTCTCATCAATATGTTATCATTACTCCTCAAGGATTTCTCCTTGTGGACGGGACCATTCGAGGGAACCATGATGGAACAGAGGTTACTAGACTACCAGGTCAGTCAGTACCACAGGGGAGCATACATTTATTGAAACATTAAATTGTCAGTGAATGACTTGTCCCATCTCCAGGCAGACATCTTGAATTCATTTTATTGCTGAAGGAAGAATTATATAACCAATAAATCCTGCCCGAAGACAATTAAGACTGGGCCCTTCCTCTCCCAGATTGAATTTGGTCAATCCATTTTATTGTCCAACAAATTATGAGATTAATTAATTCCCACGATTTCCTATAAATCAACCAGTTTCTGTATTCTGTACTGCCAGTATCGGTCCTGACACGGAGATATATGTAAGGGCATCATTGGTTATAACTAATTGGTTTGTCTGCATGTGGCCATGTTTTGATTGTCAGATGCACCCTGGGATACTATTTGGTAGCAGATTGGTAGCTCCCTCTCTTGATTGTGTATCTCACTTTCATATTTCTGGAGTCATAAAATATACTTGAGACTTGTACACATTAGTGTCTTGGTGAGGGTATATAGTCATGAAATGACATCCAGAAAGACTCCCTGTGGAACAAAATATTGTCACTGTGGACTCCAATGGTCTAGAAACCTTCTACTTTGTACACTAAACTCTAGGGACCAATTTGATTTCAGTGCTAAATCTTAATTCAACGCTTTGGGGGAAAATGACATCAGAATTGTAATTGAGCATGAAACCTGGCAAACATAGCAATGATTGTAATATGAAACTTAAAACTCGGAAGCTTTGGTATATTTGTGTTTCACGTCCTATTAACAGCTATGGTCATTTAAGGATGTGCCAGGTTTTGGTGGTGAAGGAAAGCCGGAGTTCCTGAAGAAAAACCACCGACCTACGGCCAGTAACTGGCGACTGCCCCACGTAGGCCTCAAACCGCGACCCAGTGGTGGAAGGCTAGTGGTAGCAGAACATCAGACGCCTTAACCACTTGGCCAGCGAGGCCCTACACAAAAATATTCTGGAAGCATGCAATTTTATGATCATATCAGACAATATTCTGGATGGCTTTCTGAATGGGAGTTTACCTGTGATACGATTTGCTGGTTTTCTTCAATATAATGTCGTACTTGAACACCCGACGACAGCAGTACTCTGCAAGAAAATTTAATAAAAGGATTAGATTGTTAAGAACATATTATCAGATGACAAACAGACAACCTTAGATTGGAAGACAACCAATTGGATGGCAAACAGACAAACTAAATAGATACAAATTGGACAAACATGATTGGAAAACAGAAGGACAAAATCACTGCATGACAAACAAATATGAACAGATGGCGAATGGACAAAATGATTGCATGACAGACAGACATGAAAGGACAAAATAACTGGATAACAACGGATTGGGTGACAGACAATCTGACTATGTGACAAATTGACAGTTTCATACTGGATACCATTACAGATGATCTCAATGGATAACCATTGGATAAACAGTCACTATTAATTGAATTTCGTACCATTCTACACTTATTATTTTAAATAATATAAGACATTGTCAACCAATTTGCAAAAGTGAAAGAAACAGCGGCAAGGTGTATACTTGACCCAATTATTAAGAGAAAGAAAATTCAAAGCACTGGCTGTAATAGTGTCATTTTTCAAGTAGAATTTCTAAATGAGTCAACTTAAAATGAAAAACAAGAGGCCCAAGGGCATTAGCAGTCACCTGAGTTATATCATAGGTACTGGTAGCTTTATTTTATTGTTTAGATGTGATGTGGAAATCAGCATGTAAACTAAGTGAAATACAATACTTGTCATATCATCAAAGGATAAGAATTTTAAAATATTTGTAAATGTTCCCTTTGGGGCCCCGCTCTAACCCCTGGGGATGGGGCAGGAATTCCAAGTTTACAATGTGATACCGTCATCCACCAAAGATGATTCTGACCAAGTAAAAATAATTTCCAACAGAAAATTGTCAAAATATACCCAAAAGTGTTGTTTCCCTATATTAACTATAGTAAACTTTACCCACTCCCCAAGGGAGAACGGATAGCTCGGGGGTCCTAAAATTTACAATTTCAATAAAGCCCCTGATGATTTTTCCATCTATGCAGAGAAAATGACTGTAGAATAGGACTCTGAGTCTGGGGAAGAAGATTTTTGAAAAATTGGTTAAATTTCCCTTTGGGCCCCGCCCTGGCCCCTAGGGTTGGGGTAGGAATCCCAATTTTACAATTTAAAACCATCTTCCTTCAAGGATAATTCTCACCAAGTAAAAATAATTTCCAACAGAAAATTGTCAAAATATACCCAAAAGTGTTGTTTCCCTATATAAACTATAGTAAACTTTACCCCCTCCCCAAGGGAGAACGGATAGCTCGGGGGTCCTGAAATTTACAATTTAAATAAAGCCCCTGATGATCTTTCCATCCATGCAGAGGAAATGACTGTAATACCTCTGAGTCTGGAGAAGAAGATTTTTGAAATATTGGCTAATTTTCCCTTTTGGGCCCCGCCCTGGCCCCTAGGGTTGGGGTAGGAATCCCAATTTTACAATTTGGTAGCCTCAACTACCAAGGATGATTCTGACCAAGTTTGAAAAAATTCCATCCACTGGTTCTTGAGAAGAAGTTGATAATGTAAAAAGTTTACGCATGACAGACGACGGACGGAAAGTGATTGGAATAGCTCACTTGAGCAAAGCTCAGGTGACCTAAAAAATACCCGTTGTATAATATTTTAATGATGAACATGATGAAGTTTCTTAACAAACAAATCACAGAAAGATAAATAAAGGCATAAAGGAGGAAAATCAATGAAAAAGAAGCAGAACTCCTTTGACAGTAGCAGACATGATTACTGACAACTGCACTGTTCCTGAAATCCATGTTACAACTGACAATTGTAATAAAGTAGCTATCTCAACTCATTAATCTGAGTTATGTCCCCTCATTACACTCGACTTATCTCCCCTCATTACTTCTGCCTGATTTACGTGATGTTTAACCGCCCCTGTATATTGGATCGGACATGCAACTTACTCGTTTCTCTCCAGACGTATCTTCTGTAGTTTGCTCTGGATGAGTAGCTCGTACGTCACATGTTTGTAATGTTCGTAGGTTCCCTGCGGAGTTAAAAAATTACAACTTAAAGCTACATAATAACATCATTTAACATTATAAATCACAAAACACAAAATACGTTGTGCATACAACAAAATTGTATTGCAACAGTGGCAACATTAAGGTTTTCCAATTACAATCTATGAAATACATGTACTGTACCAATTCCAACTGTAAATTCAACAAATGAGAAACAAAATTTTACTTCAGCTGGCATTTCTCAAGAGGCATTGATCACGTTTCAGATGTAATACAATCAAAAAGTTAGGCAGATTGCATTGCATGTTCCTGAATTAGTTATTCATTTAATACAGAGGAGCTTTAAAATGGGAAAGTGCATTATGTCCATTGGCTAATTCTTTGGTTAACGCTGTGTCCAGATTTTTGAATAAAAAAATCTTTCTGTTATTGCAAATTTTTATTTTTTTTACTCCAAATTTTCAAGGCCCTGTGATCCACAAGATGAAAGGAAAAACTGAGCGTAAAAAGGATTTGCAGTTTAAGATTATGATCAGACAATAAACTTTTACATTTGTACAGAACATGTATCTCTTGTTAAGTTCTGTTGCACTTCAGTTGCCTTAAGCTTTAACACAGTTCATTACAAAATCATGTAATAAAAATCTTATAGCTGAAAAATGTAGCCCAAAATCGTGCAAAATAACATTCCAAGATTCAAGTTATTACATTATGAAACAAATGTTTCGGAAACATGGTACGAGCAGTAATCATTTTGCGAGCACAGACGCTCTGTTTATGATAATGAATTGATTATAATTGATCAAAAAGACAACGGAACATGACAGAACCTTGTCGTATTTATTGATTTAATAAATGGGCTGAAAAATCATACTTTGTGAAACAATTCAAGTGACTCAAAACGGGAGATGGTAATTATTACAAAACGAATCAGCTAAAATTAAAGTCACATATCATAAATATCAAAATGAGATACCAAGCATGACTTGAGGAATTTGTAAAATAGGGAAAATTCTGTAAAGAAAAAATATTGTCGGTTAGAATTTAAATATCATTTGATTAGAAATATTCATTTTATTTTTATCTTTGTTTTAGTTACGTAACAATCAATACCTGCTCCCAAGAGAAGATAACTCTGCAATACGCAAAGACGGAATATATATGTGGCCATGCTTGGAAACAAGAACATCAAAATTAGAATTTTAAAAGACTCTTAAATGACATGTTTTTCAATGATCAGATTCATCTCTCTAATTTTTAAACAAATCACTGCAAAATTTACATAAATGATCCCTAAATATGCCTAAAAGATGCCTGCACTAGGTGTAACTACTTTGGAGTCGAGGGTTGCTTTAGGTTTCATCCTAAGAGAGCTCTGTTACATTTGATAACGACCAAGAAATGCCAGATTTATTATCTCTTGCTGGTATTTTAGACAGGCCATATTTAAAGTTCTAAATGATTGATTTTACACACATAAATAACTGGAATTAGAAGACAGGGAGAATTTGTTTTCAAAATTATTTCAAGTCCATATTTTGATTTCTTCTCAAGATCAGATCCTAGTTCCAATGAAAAACTTTTTGTAAATAGATACAGTATTATTAATATATGTGATATAATGTGCAGATTCAGCTAAAATATATACAGTCAAATGCTCTCCTGCAAGTATCTCCTCTCCATTGACAGACTACCTGTATTAAGAGGCCACATTCAATCTTCCCAATCATAGTGGTTTCGTTTTAAAGAAGCCTGAATGAACTCATTCACACCTAAAGACACATCTAAACTCTTCCAATTCAGAGGTTGGAATAGTTCATCATGAAATTTCAGGGGTGAATGAGTTAAGAGATCAACGAGATGTGTTAAGAGGCCATTTTCAAGCGTCCCCATTGTAGTGATTTCATTGTGAAGAAACCTGTACTAAAATGTAGACATCACCTGCATTTCGAGACCATTATTTGGACTTCTGAAGGGTGGTGACTGTAATACAGCTTATTAATTTTATAAGCCTGAATCAGTTGATTGAAACAAGGTAACCTCAAGATCAAATAAGATGTGAAAAATTGTGATATTCTGACACCTATGCACGGGTAGAACAGTAATAAACAATGATTTATATTGCTGACAATTATATCATTGTTCAGAACAATACTGCTGACGTGATTTTGGTCCTTTGATCAATCTTTAGAATATATTTATGTAAAAGGCAAGCACCCTTGCTAGTTGAAATGGGAATTCATTCCTAAACACTGACATTTTACATTTGACATGTGTGAATTTTTGCACATCACATTTTCTAACCAATATTGTATATATTCTGATATACCGGTAGATATGTATGAGGATATGTTCATGAAACAGCTAGACTCCAATTGATCTGCCGGCTGATAACGTTATCAAGTTCCTCTCCTAGTGTACGTATTGCAACCTGTTAAAAGGATGCAGTTCATTTAGCTATAAAATCGCCAAGTTAGACTGAGTAGAGTAGATATATCGCCCATCAGACATTTATGAGTACAGGAACACCATCAGACATACATGTAACTTCCCCATGACACCTTGCCATGCAAGCTAGCTGTAAAACCAACACACCGGCTGTCCAGCAGTGCACATTCCGCCAGCCAACTGCATAACCAGTAAAAGTCGAGTCGCACATAAATGTGTGTTTTTATATATTTTATGTCTTGGTATGAGTTCGGAAGGTGTGGGGCTCTGTTATGTAATATTTGCCCCATGTAATCAATGATGCAAGCCTCTATATGAGACCAGCCTCACCCAAGTTCCTTTTTTTATCTGATCACAGCCAAAATTGTATTACACCTGTACATCCAAAGTCTGCAAGTGTTAAGCAATAATGTTTTAAGAATCAATGATTTTGTGATTGTACATTGAAGGAATGATTTTTTGTGATAGGCAATTTTGTTTTAAAAGGCCAATAGGTAAAAACTATTGTTTAAATAATGTGCCTCAATAGACTTCGCCAGACAAAGTTATTTTTTTTCAGCAATATTGTTTTAAAAGGCCAATGGTAAAAAGATTGTTATTTAAATAACGTGCCCCAATATGAACTAAGCCTGGCAATATAAGATCTAACTCATATTTGTTGTTTGTTTGTTTGTTTGTTTGATTTTGTTTAACGTCCTATTAACAGCTAAGGTCATTTAAGGACGGCCTCCCCTGTGTGCAAGGTCCATGCGTGTAGTGTGTATGTGTGTATTTTGGGAGGCTGCGATATGTTCGTGTTTTTCTCCTTGTGATAGCGCCGAACTGATGCCGACTTTATAGTGCTACCTCACTGAAACATACTGCCGAAGACACCCAGCAGGACGCCCCACCCGGTCACTCATATTTGGTCAAAGTGCTTATTACATATATATTAAGTATACACACACTATATATATATTTTCATTGCAACCAAGATACTGTCAAAGATTTTGCTTGACCTTGAATGGTTAATGAATAGATGTTCACAAGTGACCTTGACATTTGACCATGGATCATGACTTGCTCGACACTTGTACATCTGTAGTACACCCAAAGCTGTACTCAGAGGCCACCATTGGGAGGTCAAAAGATGGACTTCTTGTTGCAGATCATCTCTTAACTCAAGTCACCCCTGAAGACACATTTGAACTCTTCCAATTCAAATGTTGGACTAGTTTATATAAATTATAAAAATTTCAGGGGTGAATGAGTTAATACTGGTTATATGTAAACATACAAGAGGCCCAGAGGGCCTGTATCGCTCACCTGGATACCTAAGCAATCATGGCAAACTATTCTCCAAATGAGATCAAGGGAATATGCCAGACCCTAAGGCCAATCCTTGTAGCATAGCTATATTAGATTTTTCATGCCCAGAAATTTATGTATGGTTATGGGGTGGGGATCTCAACTGTTTCCAAGCTTTGACTCAGAAACTAGGTCCCTAGATTTGTCTCTTTTTGCCAAGCATTTGTATATATAGTTTTGGGGTGGGGATCTCAACCGTTTCAAAGTTATGACCCAGGGGCCAAGTCTGCAAGGGTGGGGCAGACCCTCGGATCAATTCTAATGTCATGAGTGCATTCGTCTCTTTATGCCCAACAATTGCATATATAGTTTTGGGGTGGGGATATTAACCATTTCAAAGTTATGACCCAGGGTCGAAGTCTCCAAGGGTGGGGCATTCCCCAAGGCCAACCTGGAAGCATATGTGGAATCATCTCTTTATACTCAGCAATTGTATATATACGGTTATAGGGTGGGGCTCTCAACTGTTTCCAAGCTGTGACTAAGAAACTAGGTCCCTAGGGGATCGGTCAGACCCCAGGGTCTATTCTGATATCATGATTGCATTCGTCTCTTTATGCCCAGCATTTGTATATATAGTTTTGGGGTGGGGATCTCAACCGTTTTAAAGTTATGGCCCAGGGACTTTGTCTCCAAGGGTGGGGCCAGACCCTAGGGACATCCTGGAAGCAAATGTGCATTCTTCTCTTTATACTCAGCAATTGTATATATGGTTATATGGTGGGGATCTCAACCATTTCCAAGTAATGCATTTTATTGGCCCCACCCCTTAGCCCGGGGGGGTCAGCCCCACTTTTTGTACAATTTTGAATCCCTGCCTCCCATGAATACTTCCGACCAAATATGATCAATATCCATGGCATAATTCTGCAGAAGAAGTCATTTATAGCAATATAACCAAATTGCCCCCTTTTGGCCCCGCCCCTCAGCCCCCTGGGGGGTCAGCCCAACCGTTTGTACAATTTTGAATCTCCACCACCTAGAGATGCTTCCAGTCAAATAAGGTTGATATCCATCACTTAGTTCCAGAGAAGAAGTCACTTAAAGCAGTATAGCCAAATACCTTTTTTGGCCCTGCCCCTCAGCCCCCTGGGGGGTCAGCCACACCATTTGTACAATTTTAAATCCCTGCCTCCCACGAATGCTTTTGATCAAATATGATTGATATCCAGTGCACAGTTCTTCAGAAGAAGTTGTTTGTAGCAATATAGCCAAATTGCCCCCTTTTGGCTCCTCCCCTAAGCCCCCTGGGGATTCAGCCCCACCATTTGTACAATTTTTAATCACCACCACCTAGGGATGCTTCCAGTCAAATATGGTTGATATCCACTTCTTAGTTTCAGAGAAGAATACGCTTAAAGCAATATGGGCAAATTGACCCCTTTTGGCCCCGCCCCTCAGCCCCCTGGGGGGTCAACCACACCATTTGTACAATTTTGAATCCCCACCACCTAGGGATGCTTCCAGTCAAATTTAGATTAATTCCAACCAGTGGTTAAGAAGAAGAAGTCGTTTAAAGAAATTGTTGACGTACGGACGTTAGGACGTACGACGGACGCCACGGTATGGCATAAGCTCACCTTGGTCCTTTGGACCAGGTGAGCTAAAAAAACCATTGCAACACAGATTTTTCCAAAATGGTCTCTGAACAAAAAGTGGTCTCTTAATAAAAGCAGTCTTTCAATTCAAGCAGGGGTGGCTGAATATGACCTTGTTTGACCTTGCTCAATTAAATAATGGACTTTTGACAAACTAGATCACAGGGTTATCTGCTTGTCTGCTTGATTTGTTATCCAGTGTATAATAAAACCAATGCTGTGTTTGTCCGGCCTCGCTGCAGTGCTGCAGTGAGAAGGCATACCATAAAAGTCAGTCGATCGGAAGTGTGCACCCAGTGGAGACACACTACAAAGGTTGGCTTCCTGAAACTAATTAGCGGCCTTAGCAAAGATCAAAAATAAAACTGAAACTGTTTTATGATATGAATTATAGGCTATGTGTTGACAGGAAAAGCAAGGGCGCTGAGCTATAAATGAAATCAATAACACTAGGTGCAGGCGACAAAAAGACACGTAATAATCGTAGGGTATACAAATAATATGGTCATAATTTAACAAGCTAAATTTACAAACAGGATCTGTAATTAAAGTTGAGTGGGTGTATCCCATAAAGGCATATATATCACTGCCTAAGTATATAACTGTGTAACTGCAGCCAGTCTAAATTGCTGGCTATAATATGTATCATTTTGCTGAAAGGTATGATTGTGCTTTTGGTTCTTAAAGATGGGGGTCTAAATTTCAAGTATACATGAAACCCTTCTCATGCTCTGGCATGAGTTCTGTGCTCAGACCCACTTTCTTAGTACTAAGTCATGTAACACGGTCAAAAGTCAAGTGTTAACATTGAAAACTATATATTGATTTAAGTCTCGCAAAATTTCAAACATATCATTGACAATTGAATATGATAATTGTACTAACTTAAAACTGGCACTAGAAATTGGGCTTGAGCATAGAATCTAGGTTTGAGCATCAGAAAAGGACTTCATGAATACGGGTCAAGGCATTTAAATTTGCTACATTATATTATGAAGCTAGACTTTTCTGTACTTTTCAAAGGACATTAAAGATACTGTATATTTTTATAAAAAGAAAATACTTTTTTGTATCGTTTAATTTTTTTTTCCCCCTTTCTTTAATTATTGTGTACATGCATCCTATGTTGAACCTATGCTTATTTGTCAAAGACATTTACTGTGAGAAATACACTGTACTGCACTGTAGTACAACCTATAATGCTACAGTCGAACCTGCATTTTATTTAGCATCTAGCTGGAAAGTCCAATAAAGGGGTTTCTTATTGCAGGTGTTCATTCACCCCTGAAATTTCACAGTGAACTTTTCTAATCTTTGATTTGGAAGAGTTCAAATGTGTATTTAGGGGTGAAGGAGTTTTTTCACTGAAGGCAAAATATTAGAGAGTTCCACTAAACTTTTTCATATATACAGTAACTTTCCCTTAATTATATTTTTGATATATCTGTAGTGGGATTCATGGCCAGGGACATAAGAGTTACGTTTAGACCACACAAAGACATGGATCAGTGGACCACACCTATCATACCCCAGGAAGCTGTCCGACCATGTGACTAATCGACATTTAAATCACCAAGAAGTCGAGTAATGGTCACTTACCACTTTGCATCAACTGAACAATGTCTATTGTTTATAGTTAGAGTTTTTGGCAGTGGTACAGGGATCCTTAATATATACTGCTACACTGATACGGGGTTCCTTAATATATACTGCTACACAGATACGGGGATCCTTAATATATACTACTCCACAGATACAGGGATCCTTAATATATACTGCTACACTGATACGGGGTTCCTTAATATATTCTGCTACACAGATACGGGGATCCTTAATATATACTGCTACACAGATATGGGGATCCGTAATATATACTGCTACACAGATACAGGGATCCTTAATATATACTGCTACACTGATACGGGGTTCCTTAATATATACTGCTACACAGATACGGGGATCTTTAATATATGCTGCTACACAGATACGGGGATCCTTAATATATACTGCTACACAGATACAGGGATCCTTAATATATACTGCTACACAGATATGGGGATCCTTAATATATACTGCTACACAGATACAGGGATCCTTAATATATGCTGCTACACAGATACGGGGATCCTTAATATATACTGCTACACAGATACGGGGATCTTTAATATATGCTGCTACACAGATACGGGGATCCTTAACATATGCTGCTACACAGATACGGGGATCCTTAATATATGCTGCTACACAGATGCGGGGATCCTTAATATATACTGCTACACAGATGCGGGAATCCTTAATATATACTGCTACACAGATACAGGGATCCTTAATATATACTGCTACACAGATGCGGGGATCCTTAATATTTGCTGCTACACAGATACGGGGATCCTTAATATATGCTGCTACACAGATACAATAAGAACTCCGTCCCTAATCCACTTACATGGTGTTTGATTTGGTGTTCCTTGGTGGATATCCCGATGGCCTTGTTACGTCGGACTATACGTTTCGGGAAGATGATTTCGTACGGCCGTGGGACGTTCTTCAATAGGTGACGGTTATACTGTGTCTGAAGCAGGGTTGCCATGTCATGTTTGTCTACAAATACAAAAAATAAATTCTTGAAGAATTCAACAATGATGGTATTATGTTGTTAAAGGAAAATTTTTCAAAAACAAAGTATTTAATTATCTGTTATTGCAATGGTATACAACACTCGCGGGATTTCACTATACTACCGTATAACCTGAAATTTCACAATATTTTAACTTTTGCCTTTCCCCCCTTTCCTTAACGAGACCAATTTATCAAGGAATGAATATATTAGCATACAGTAATTACCACACCGATTATTTCTTGTGAAGAGCAAAATTAACTGTAAAGGATAAAAATATTACTTGACAAAAGTTATATGGTACATATACAGTATGTATACCTTATAAACTTTTTTGCTTTTGATTTACATGATAAATGCATCATGCGTTATACATTACATCATATCAATGTATCTGCAGTGTTTAATGTGTAAATACAAAACATGCAAAGCTGATGGATTGAATCTGTGGTCACCATTCATCATCTTGACATTTTCCCTGAAATCACATTTGCGGAATCATAAGTATCTATTAGTGCAGGGGGGGGGGGGGGGGGGGGGCTCTGTCCTCGTGAAAACAAGATACAATTTGGTTCGTGCGGCAAAATGAAAATATATAAAGAGGTATCATTTTTATTGCGATGATCCAGCTGTTCAATCACTGAAACGTACATGTATCTCTAACAGAAGAAATTATCAATTTGATAAAAACATATTATGTCTTCACTGCAGTGTATGCCATGCTCATGAAACATATCTAATCATTAAACTGCTCTCAGTTGGCATTCATAGTCCATATGAATGCCATCTGGAATGTGTCAGTTCGTTTCAATGCTAGCATGAGCATCTTAAAATTATATGTTGAATATAAAAAGCTTTATATTTTGCATTATTATTCAATACAGCCCATCAATCAACAATTGAAGCCAATGCAGCTAGCTAGTCAGAGGAAACTTTACAATGATAAAAGGGTGTATTTTTGGAGGTATTATATTTCTCCAATGTGCAGTCACATGTACGTAGCTAGCTACAGAGGCTGAATACATCCCCAACTGGAAGAGGGGATCCGGAGTGACACCAGAAATAGAAGCACTCTAAAAGCGAAGCACCAAACACCTTCAAAGACAGGTTCTCCAGGCCACTGGAACTCTGCCAGGCAAGTTATTAGGCCTCAGCTTTGAACACAGGAAGAGCTGGTGAGTGTGTGGAAAGTTTGGAAAAAACTTCTTCTAAACCAGGAAAACAGAAGTTACCAATATACTCCAAATAAAACCTTTCAATTCAGGATGACCCAGATCTCCGATAAACATTGCGGGAATCATCAATTGGTTAATATCATACCTCTGTTGTTATTGATGTAGCCACAGATAATATTAAAACCATTTAAACACTTAATCAGAGAGGGTGGGCACCACATTTCCCCATTGATAAGCTGAATGTATGTAGCTTACGTAACTTAACCGAGATTACAGATGTGTTCAGGCAGCTGTAGGAATCATACTCTACAATCATAATTCTGCTGAACTCCATTGTTTCATTCTAAATTTGCATTGCAGGAGTTAAATTTTAGTTCAGTCTCGAGCTCTATGTTTTTATATAGTATCAAGTGGTCTTATGAAAAGAGCTTTTTTTTTTTAATGGTAGCCATGGTCTTTCAAATCCTTTTACTTAAGCTATCCATACATAAGCAAGTTTTTCTTCACGCATGCAGGGTGGTTTAATTTTCGAGACGACTTACATACTAAAAAGGTGGTTTCTCAAGACAGGTATTATAGTAATAAGGTTGTCTTTCATAAGAAGGTTTTATTAGAATGGTCTTATCAAACAGGTAGTCTCTAACTCATTCACCCCTGAAATATCACGATGAACTATTCCAACCTTTGAATTTGAGGAATTCAAATGTGTATTAAGAGATGTACATTAGAATAGATAGTCTCTATGAACAAGTTTTATTGTAGAGGTCATGCAAATGACCCTAGTGGTCCGTTACAAGGATCAATGTCTCTCCTCATCAGTTTTATCAGAAACCTGGTGGTGGTCCTGGGGGGTAGGGCTGAACCTAAGTACACATGTACCTGAACAGAATTTCACTCTGACCCATATATTCATTATATATAGAACACCTACTGGCATAAAGTACAAAATATGCCTGGTATGAGATCTACGTAGAACTGAAATAAACTCATCTTAGCCAACAAAAATCTAATAATCTTTTGACCCCTAGCAATCAGATAACACTGAAAGGTGAATGATTAGAAATAACATTATAAGAATTTTATCGCCGCTTACATCTATATCTAAATCGAAACAAATTATCTTTCCCTTTTTCCTAATCCTATCTTCCTTAAAGAAGTCACCGGGATCCATGCTCCAAATTATTACAGAAATTTTCGTGGGACGTTAAAGATTTTGTTAATTTCGTGGATAACAAAAATCCATGAAATAAAATTCCCACAAAAACATAAATTTGGTATATGATATAGATAGATAGGGGAAAATCAGAAATCAGCGAAATATAATGTCCTTGAAACACCGGCTAGTATATGAAAACCACGAAATTTTAAACCCACGAAAATAAATGATTCTACAGTATTACAAAGCCGTTCCATAAATGTCTGTTTTTAATCCTGAAGGATGATGGACATTCAACTCAATACAGATTACCATTCACAGAAAAGTATGACTGTATCATGAATCTGTGATTTTTTACCTGAATTTCACTGATACCTGTAACTTTTTCACTGAGAAATATGCATTCATATATATAGAATACAATATCCATCATTGAATATTCTATCGTTTCTAGGAACACAACCCAAATGCTGATATATACAATCCATCAAAAAGACGGACACAAACAAAGTTTTACCATGGATTAGCTGTTATAATTAGAACAGGATTTTAAATTGAACTGTTTGATTACTTCCATCCACTGAACACCAACATCGACTGGAGTCTAACTGGAAACACATTGATTCAAACATGTATACTGGAAATGATAGCTACCTGTATATTACCAGGAACAGAATATCACTTTAAGAATCCCTGGCCCACTACAGGCAAAACATTCAAGACTTTTACTCAAGTTTTTTAATTTTTTATTTACTGGAAATGATCGATACATGTATTAACAATAAAATATTTTGAAATTGATACATGTACAAAATGAGTGTATGTACACCCTAGAGAATACTTTTAAATGGCATCTTTTGAGTTTTTATTTCAGATGAAATCTTCAGTTCTTTGAAAATAGGAATAGTTTAGCAAATTCACTGGATGAAAATGCTCAAATTTAATGTCCAAAATCGGGAGTCTCCCTCCAAAATAGGGAGAGTTGATAATTCAATTATGTGGGGATCTTTTTCTGGCAGTGGTGGGCATCCTTAACTATAATGTTTCTGTAATTCAATGAAGTTTAACTGTTTCCATATATTTGTGTATACCCTGAATCTTCGCAACATACATTTATACAACTGTTTATTCAATTCCACAAGATACATTTAATTCTAAGGAAGTACATTCTGGGAAGACTTTCCAGATGTACCAGGTTTCACTATAAATCATGGTAAGATTGTACACAGATGTGGGCTATTTATCACCATTACACCTACAGCCTTATACAGACCCCCCAGACTCTCAGGTGTTACCCTACAGATCTCTGGTCAATCAGCTGCAGGGGCAAGTCTATTTCAGCCCACTTCACATCAACAGACAAAAACATGTAAACAATGATGACTTCAATACTGTTTGTTATAGGCTGAAATAGCAGTAACACCTCATTAAACTGCCAGAATTTGTCCAGAGAAATGTTGGCATTATAAAAAGGTATGGGGATAAATTGAGGAATATGTACAAAATAATTTTTGAAGAAAAAAAGACCTTAAAAGTTGGCATTAACTCATTCACCCCTGAAATTTCAAAATAAATTTTTCAAACCATTGAATTGGATGAGTTCAAATGTGTCTTCAGGGGTGAATTAGTTAAGCAAGTTGAAAAATTAAATGAGGGGCATTGTATCAAGGTTTTCTGGTAGTCAGTAATCAAAATTATTGTAAATCGTAAAAAAATATTGTGGTAAATTCCAGAGGACAGTGATTGCAGTTTCAAATGTCTAACAAACATAAAATTAGACAAACTGAAAACATAAACAAATGTACATTTTTATGTTCATCTTGCAAATTCAAGTCCTTTTTCGGTGAATAATATTAATGCCGTCATTGAAATTTTGTTGAAAATAAGTCTTCGTAATATAAAATTTATTTGACATAATACCAGTTCCTGCTTTAATAAATATCCCCCCAAAGATTGGGAAGTTCCTTTTTCTTAATCTTAATTTCGGGAATTCGAAGAAATGGTAAATTTTGCTAGTTAAACAACTCCTGCCAAAAATACGGTTTTGTGTTGCCGTTATTACGTCAGCTACGGTAGATATAATATTAAGGCTATCATGTGTAAAAGCGTGTCATTTGGAATTAATATGGTATAATTCCATGCTATTACTCAGTGGCCCCCTGCAAAATCGGAGATTTTCTTCTGTGTCATCCCCTGTAGGAACATAAAAGAAGCTATAAGGGGGTATCGGGGAGAAAATTATATCACGCAGCAGGCAAAGAGTCAAGACTTTTTACATGTTTGTAATTTCATATCATTTCTTCTCAAATTAATAGCCATCAGCAGCTATTATTTTATTTTTTTCATATTTTTAAAAAAATTCATAAAAATGATCAAAGATTCTGATAATTAAATGAACCCTGCCTAAGCCATGTTGATATCCTGGAGCATTAAACAAAAATAACTAGAAGGGTGCTTTTTAGGACAATTTAACAAAATGTGGGAACCAGTGATTATCTCTGTAGAAATCTTTAGATGTCACTGCTAGCCTGGGAGATGATCAGCTATCTACGTGATTACAATCTGATTAGAAGTTCTAATAAAGTATTCCATTTCTAGATTTTGGTCTTGTAACTGTTCAAAATGTTCTTATTTATATTTCAAAGACCCATCA